AACGTCATTTTCAGATTTCTCGTGAAGAAATACATCTGACTATTAAATTTAGCTACAGTTAGGAACAAGTGAGTCTCAAATATAGTTTGACTGATCACTGACTACACAAAAATACAATACTATTTTGTACTTACGATTATTCCAAAAAGTTGAATTGCTCAACATGGTGGCACAATGTATTCGATAGAGCGCCACTCACTCCAAAACTCTGGCCGTACAAAAGTAGCAGCATTTTTGATACTGTTGAAATATTGAGTCAACTTTGTGAGATAATGTTTCCAGCACTCCTCTAATAGAGGGTTTGTCACATAGCCGTTGAAGAAAAGCGTTCATTTTCATATTTAGTTATCTCAAATGGACGGTTTAGTCGAACTGCAATCAAATAAAAAATATTAGATCGTTTGAATGCGAATATGACGTGAAATCATTCACACCCACTCTGAAAATGTTTGAAAGTTATCTGGAGCGTCTTAGATTGAACGTAGGATATCTTAGGTCAGGATTCGAGTTTTTCCTGAATGGATTCGCCCCAAACAACTTTCCACCCGAGATAAACAACTTTCAAAGTAGATCTTCACGCGCTCTATCCATACCGACTATGCTCTCCACATGAAAATGTTCCTAAGACCCGGTAATCCTTAAAAGCGGCACAAAAATGACCTAAAATGCCATGGAATTCCGTAGAATCCGTCGCGATCCGCTCAGCAGAACTTTCACAACGTAGCCATGCAACTTTTCAAGTAGATCTCATCGAGCTCTATCAAATGGACACCTTTTCAGTTCGAATTAATGCTCCGGTCCTCCAGAAACCCACCAAATCAGAGCCCGAATCCTAGGTTTTACTGAAAACTCCGTCGCGATTCGCTGAGAACAACTTTCCAACGTAGTGATAGGCTTCTCCAGATAAATCTCGATGAGATCTACTTAGGCAGTAGCATGGTTATGCTGGAAAAGACTTCTGGGCCAATCGCGACGGATTTACCGGGTAAAACCTAGGGCACCGACCCGAGATCGCCCGGCTTCTTCGCGAGCCGAGCATCGATTGGAACTCAAAAGCTATCCATCCGATAGGGCTCGATATGATCTACTTGGAAAGTTCCATGGCTACGTTGGAAAGTTGTTCTGGGCGAATCGCGACGTGGTTTCTTCTAAAATCTCGGAATCCGGTCCGGGATAGGCCGGTTTCTTTGAGAGCCGATCATCGATTCGAACTGAAAAGGTATTCATTCGATAGAGCTCACCGAGATCTGTCTGGAAAATTCTATCACTACGTTGGAAAGTTCTGCTGAGTGAATCGCGACAGGTTCTACGCAATTTCATGGTATTTTAGGTCATTTTTTTGCAGTTTTTAGGGGTTACCGAGTCTCAGAAACATTTTCATGTGGAGAGCATAGTCGGGGTAGATAGAGCGCGTGAAGATCTACTTGAAAAGTTGTTTATCTCGGTTGAAAAGCTGTTTGGGGCGAATCCATTCAGGAAAAATTCGAATCCTGACCTAAGATATCCTACGTGTTTAAATAGGCCTGTAGATATATTAGGTTTACGGCTGATCAAGAAAGAGAAAAAAATGTTTTGTGAAAGGTATTGGTGATTCTCGATGTATAATTCAAAAAATAGACTTCGACAGACAATATTCATAAAAAATTCTTCTTACGTTAGTGGAAGGAATAGTCTCACGTACGACACATTTATTTTCAAACGAATACATGAAGTCTAGTCTAATGCCAAAAATGATGTGCTCATATTTGACTTTGAATAATTTTTTTCACCAGGCCAACAATTACTAATGTCTTGTTTTAATATGATTATTAAATAGGATCAAAAATAATTTTAGTTGAAAAGATTACAAATATGCTATGTTTTTTATCTTTCGATCATCATTGGTGAAAGCATAACTTTAAACGAAGAATGATGATCAAAATTATTACTTGCAATACAATAAAAGGAAAGCTTGATTTTTTTATTGAAGTACAAGTTCATTCTCTGAAACAATTACACTTTCATTTTATTGCTTTGATTTCATTGGTATACAAAAAAGTAAGAAACTTTTTAAAACAAAAAATGATTTTCAATTAAGTAAGAATCAATATATATTTGTCTCGATATACTTTCTCATTCGTCTAGTGCTTTTTATTAATGTTAGGTGTGCGTCGAAAAGTTTAAGATATATGATTTTATGTTAATAGACAGTATCTGGCTACGCCACGTGTTGATTACATAATAACTATCGCTTTTTATTTGTCAGATGTTCTATCCTTCATATGGACGCACGTGTACACATGGCATGTAAACTTTTGTACACACTTGAAGAAAGCAAGCAATTCGAAGAAAAAAGAAGACGAGTGGTTACTAGTTTTTGGTAGAAAAAACGAATACAAAATTATTCTCTTTGAATTAAATAATTCGTAGAACATTTATCTATTTGTTTAATATATGTAGAAGGTCCCATGAATATGTGTTGCAGTATCGATAATTATATGAATATTGTCGATTTAATATGCAACAATAAGCAATACTACTACCACAGAAAGTGAAAGTTATCTGTGCAATTACGCAAACATCATGAGACTCACCAATAGAAGACTTCAATGAGATTCAAGTAAATAATTAGATCAAGTTAATAACAATTGCTTATTAGAAAAAAAATTGTACTCTGATTAAATAAATAAAAGGACTAAAATAGTTTACGTTTTTTAGCTAATTCACAACAATTAAGAATTATTAGAAATCAACATGCTCGCTGAAAAACAAATCTAAAAGTTAGTATACAATTATATCATTGATTTTAGTCGTTTTTTTTCAATAAGACTGTTGTCTTATGCATATGAACGCGTGTGGTTTGGACGAGACGCAAGCTGTTATTTGATCTATTAAAGTCGCTTGATTAACAAAGTTGGAGACGATGGTCAAAAGGAAGAAAAGCAATACATTTCTAGTATTTTCAAAGACAAGTTTTATTGATGTTCATTCAAACGAAAGAGAATGGGTAGAAACCGAGTTTTTCAAATAAAAATAATTCCACTTGGCAATAGACTTCAGCAGTACATTTTGTCACATTTAATTTAGGTTTAAAATATTCCTTCGAAAACTAAATATCTTATATAAAAACGACTACACTTTTTCTCATGAGACTATTTCTTTGATTAAGAAGAGTTTTTTACAGTAATATTTTTTTCTTCAGTATTATTTTTGATTTATAATTCGAGCGTCATCAACATCTTCAGCAACACAACATTTATTTCTGTTTTTCGATCAGTTGTATACATAATATATAGATAAACTTATTTGAACATAATCATGTGAAATAGAATGATAAAACGCAAGGATAATAAGTATAGAAAACAATAGATCTTTCAAAAACAAAAACACAGAGAGAATGAAAAGTATGTAGTATTTTGACTGTGAACTGTTTTTTATTAGCTTTAATGATTTATAAATTATCGATAATTGAATCAACATGCTTTGCCAAAACTTTTACCGCATGTCAAATTAGTTTCGAGTCATTTCATCATTCAGACTGAGATAAATTTGGTATCACAAATTTTAAATATTCTATAATAAATAAAAACTAATATTATTGATAATAAATTCATTTTTAATAGAACTATTTAATTGCATTTTGTTTTGCAGCAAAATGTGCAATTTATTCAATTTTTACTTGCATGATAAAAAAGAAAAATAGTATTCTTAGGTTTTTCTGTATTTATGTAAAATAAATCTTATATTATTGATTTGCAGTGTTTCGACAAAAAAAATAGGACACAATTTGGTGTTTATTCATTTCATTTTAATAACTTTTTTTGTAATATAACTCGAATCGCATAACATTAAGAATAAGAAAAATTAGAATATATTTTTGTGCACTAATTTTCTATCGAAAGGTGCTATACACAAGCGCAGTGCATGTGAATTCCGTACGTGATATGGAGCGCCCTCTTTCATCTTTTAAGAGGTTATATGTATTTTTATTGCAATGGCGATTTGTGTGTGTAGCTAGCTTATCTCAACCGTTGAATACCCAGTTAATGACTGTCAGAGGCCGCCATCATCCAGTGAATTCGTTGCTGAGATTCACGTTGACTTCAATTGGTGTTTTCGTTACAAGCATATGCTCCACTCGATAGTTATAGTATTCACTGAATACTGTTTAGTCCTGAACACATCGTGACTGTTTATTTGCTCTTTTTTTTCTAATTTTACCTATTAAATATTCATTTTAAATGAGCATTGAAATATTATTTTTAATTATACGTTTCATTTTCTGATAGACTTCGTCGTCATACATCTAGTGTAAATACGATTGTTTTTTCTTTTGCATATTTAGGATCTTTCTCACCTGTTAGATACTCGTTAGGTATATGAAATTTTGGTTTTATCAATCATAAATTATCATATTTATTTTATAGAATAAGCTGCAGCTAATAAAACCGGTCGTTTTATCTGATCTAGTAATACACAGTGTGGTAAAAAGAAGATAAATATGGCGTAGATTTTTCTACTTACGTTAGTCTGATCTCATCTGATGATATTTTATGAGCAACAGGTTGAATCTCTTGTTAAACTTATCTAGGTACAATATTTATTTTTCCTTTATTCAGTAAAAATTTTCAGGAGTTAATATTTAACTAATAATAGCATCTTTATTTTGATCAGTAAAAACTTTATTTATTCAGCATCCATATATATTCTTCTTCTTTAAAAGGTAAACATTGTTTATTTTGTCTAATTGTTTCGAATGAAAGTGATAATAAAATGAAAATTGGCCATTGCCCATCTTCATCAAAACATCGATTATTACACAGATAATGATAATAAAAACACAACAACCATATTTTATATTAAACATCAATGAATAAGTGTTGTTGGTGATAAGTTACCATTATAACAGATATAGATATTAAAGCAGAACTGAAAAAAGATTTTTCATTTTAATTTAGATTATTTTTGTTTAACCTTTTTTTTGTTGCCATAATAATCTTTCTTTTTTCTATAGATATATAATGGCAGAAACCAAACCGAATGTGATATTTGTATTAGGTGGACCAGGAGCTGGTATGTGTTTATTATAGGTTATGTTACTCCGTATGTGTTTCATATTGTTCTTTTCAGGTAAAGGTACACAATGTGTTCGAATCGCCGAGGTTAGTTTTATTTTTCGTTTTTGAAGATTTTATGAAATCTATAAAGTTTATTCTGTTTTATTCTTTGTAGACCTATGGTTATGTTCATTTATCAGCTGGTGAACTTCTACGAGAAGAAGCAGCTAAACCTGATTCAACGTTAGGTAAAGAAATAAATGAACATATTAAAAATGGTTCAATTGTACCTGTTGCAATCACTTGCAAGTTACTTGAAAATGTATATTTTTATTTTTATTTAATTTATTAATTCTTCTATCGTTTTTGTTTCTATAAAAAGGCCATGAAAAATAGTGGTAAAGAAAATTTTTTAATTGATGGTTTTCCAAGAAATAAAGATAATATTGATGGATGGCAAAAAGCAATGGATGGAAAAGTTAATATTCAATGTGTACTTTTCTTTGATTGTGATGAAAAAGTGAATTGTATTTAATTTTATGATCTTGTTTCATTATATTTTTAAAAAAGACCTGTATTACTCGATGTCTTGAACGTGGAAAAGCAAGTGGACGAACTGATGATAATGAAGAAAGTTTAAAAAAACGGTAAAAACTATATTTCAATAGAATCATGACTATTTTGAAACATTAAATTTTTTTTTCAATTTTTAGAATTGTTACTTATAATGAATCAACGCGATCGGTTATTCAACTGTATGAAAAAGATAATTTAGTTAAACGAATTGATGCTTCGAATGATGTTGATAAGGTGCAATCTATTCAATTTTTTTTTATTAAACAAAAAAAAATTTTTTTTTTTATTGAAATTCTAGGTGTTTCAAAATATTCAAAATGTATTGGACAGTATCAAATCAACAACTCAGTAATTTCATAGTTAAATTGATTTATTGTTTGGAATATTGATGACAAGAGAAGCAATCGTATATATTTTAAGTTTTGAATATATGAACATTCCGAATACATCTTATTTAGATTAAAAACATGGTGATTTTAAAAATAAAATTTTTTCAACAAAATCTTCGTTGTTTTTATTTTATTTTTTGATGAACAATCATTAGGACGTTTTCTATCTTGGAATCTTTATTACTCATTAACTTTAAGTTGCAAAAATTTAATCGAAAAAAAGTTTCCTTCTATTTAGTTATAATATTGTAGTTCTAGAGGAATTGAGTAATATGTTTTTCTGCTGAAGTAGGCAACTATCTTTATTATCATTATTCTAAATAATTGAGATATATCAATTAACATATACAAACATATTACATAGAAACTTTTATACTCGAGGGGTACCTATAAAGACTGCGAACATTTACAGGCAAACGGCCAAGCTGCAAAAAACGATAGGGTTTCCAACAAATATCATACAAGTATTCACAAACATCCATTCTAGGCTGCGCTTTTTGTTTTCAACTGGAATATAGCCTTTTTTGTGAAAACGGACACCCATAGTTGTTTTAATTTATAATTATACAAGGTGTTGTACATATAAATACAAAGGTAACTATCATTATCTTTTACAAGTAAACCCGAGGAGAACTATGGGCGTTCGTGTAGTCCGCAGTTTCTATATGTACCAAAAGTTACTATTAGTTACCTTGATATTTAATTGTAAAACATCTTGTATAAGTAAAAGTCAAAGTAACTATAGGTGTCCGTGAATACTCGTTTTATATTTGTGTGGAATTCTACATTTTTTTTGTAGGTATCCTTTTTCGAAAGAGTTAGTGGTTAAGTTTACCCATGAGAAGTGATAGTTATTTGACAGAACGAATAATAAATATAGCAGATTGTGCTAGTCGATAAACTAGAGAAAATCAAAATTTTTTTCTGGTGTTTAACTATCATCATATTCTGTTCTCGAATAATTCTTCGAAAGATAATCTTCTAGAAATTGATACAAAAATTAACTTTTCGCAACTTCTAACACCTCTGACTAAAATGTTTATCCCGCTAATCTGTTTGTTTTTTTCATAAACATAATTACATGTAAATATTCTTATTTAAAATTCGAACGAAATAAAAAAAAATATATCTAGTTTCAGGTACACATGCAGCATCCATCGGTTGGTTTTCGTGGTGGTATTCGTATTGGTCATCATTATGCACATAATCATCATATTCAAAATGATGACGATGATAATTTATCTCTTTCAAATTCAAATTCCGATGAAAAAGAAGATGATAATCATGATATAAAACCTTCATCTGTTTATTCATCAATAGGAATTAATAGTGATTTTGAATTAGCCATACGTAATCTTCGTCCATCAGCAACACGTCGAAAAAAGATAAAAACAAATTTAAATATAAGTAAACAAAAGGCTGATTTACCACAGTTAAATACAACGAATGATGATAATCATAATAATAGTTTAAATGAACAAAAACAAAATGAAAATAATCTTCAAGATAAACAACAATCACGTCAATGGTTTCCTAAACCTGATGTTGGTCATGTAAATTCTGATGATTTCATTCGTCATAATCATGTTGGTAAGTTTATTCTTCTACATAAAAACTAAATAATGTTTATTGCTTGTTTGTTTTTCTTTTAGAAACTCAACAACTAACTGAAATAAATGAACAATCAACTCCACCAGCTTTATTAACAGCAATTCCTCCTGTTGGTATTTCTACACGTCCAACAGCAATTGTTGCATCAGCTGGTCCAACACGATCTATTTCAGCTTTTTTTTCATCAAATTCATCAATAAAAAAAGCAACTAGTAATAGTAATCTTCATAATAATTCAGTATTTAAAACAAATGAACAACAACAAATAACATCATCATCATCAGCTTTTCAACCGATTAATTCTCTACAAAATATTCTTCAAAAACAATCGACAATTAAATCTGCACCAGTTTTAATGGATATACCGCAACATAAAGCATTAGAACGTGGACAACAATTAAATAAAGTACATATTTCTCATCCACAAAGTCCATCTATAGTTCATGTAAGTATGAATTTCTGTTCTTTTTTTTTCTTCAAAAGAAAAGAAAAACTGAATGTAAATTTTTTAGCTTATGTTACATGAAGATTTTAATACAGCTTGTCGTCTTCTTCGTGATATGGCAGCACATCCTGAACTTCAAATTGACCATGCACCAACTCATCCTTTCAAGTATAGCTTGTGTTTTCATATTTTTTTAAACAGTTTAAAATGAATTATTTATTAGAGCTCAAGTCAATCGTTTATGTGCATGTTATCATGAAGGTCGTTGGTTTCGTTGTCGTATATTACAAATATCACCAGATTTTTCAACAGCTACAGTTATTTATTTGGATTGGGGTATGATGATTCCAATGCAAATAGGACCAGAATATATTCGTCGTTTACCAAATGAATTTTATGCTGAACCAGCGTGTTCTATAATGTGTCATCTTGATGGTGTACCTGAAACAAATGATTTAACTCCACCTGATGTTATTACTCAATGTATTGCTTTATTAAGTGAAAATGAATATGATGTTACTGTTAATGGTTATGATAGTACAACTGGAGGCAAAGTTCTTGTATCGGTTAATGGAAAAATTATTAATGATCAGATAAGACAATTACTTGTACCGAATGTAATTTATTTAAAAGTTTTATGTTTTTAAGTAGAAAAAATTGATCGACTATTTAAAAGAGAACTTTTCAGATGAAAAATAGATGAAGATAGTTAAGTTTAATCTTTAACACTTAGAATCAAAACTCTCTGAAGAAAATCTATTTCAATAACCTCTAATTTGTCACTAAAAAAAAAAAGGTTAAAATTATGCTTGCATAAAATTCTAGTCCTGTCTTTGAAAAAAAATCGATTCTCCCAATCTCAATTGAAAGATTATTAAATATAGAGCATATTTAGAATTCAAATATTATTAAAAAATTTTCGTTATAATATCTTTTTTTTCTTTTAGACATTAATGACACCAGAAGAAGAATCAATCGAACAATTTCGACATGAACTACCATTAACTGTTGGCGATGAATTAAAAGCATTACTTAGTTCATTTAGTGGTAAAGATGATTCATTTTATGTATTACTTGTTAATGAAAATACAGTTGTTATTGATCGAGCTATGAATCAATTACAGGAAACTAACATTTCAGATCGTTATACATGTGAAATACCACGAATTAAAACGTATATTAATTAGTTTCAATTTATTCATCTAGTTCTTTTTTTGTTTGTTTTTGTTTTCATTAGTCTTGTTGTGGCTCGTTATGCTGATGATGGCAAATGGTATCGTGCTTGGGTTAAATCAATTTGTTTACAGCGTCAACAAGCAATTGTATTTTTTGTTGACTTTGGTAATGAAAGTACAGTAATGTTTTCTGATATATATCCATGTCCAGAATCTGTTCGTACACTTCCATGGCTTGGTATACGTGTTCGTTTAACAAATGAAACAATGACACATGATGAATTAGCTACATTTTGGAAAATAGCTGAATCAAATTATATATGGATAAAGATTTTAGAAATATTAAAAGACTCGTATGGCATACAGATCAAAATTGATTATTCAATTCTTCTTCGACAAGAACGAATGAAATCATTATCATCTAATCGAGTTGTTCATATAGGTGTACAGGTAATGAAACTAAAAATTCATTTCATTAAAAAATCTTTTTGGCTTTTTTTAATTTTTTCAAGACAATATTTGATGAACAATCATTATCAACAATATGTCCATCAAATTGTTTAGAAATAAATTCATGTTTAATGACACCTTCAATAGTTGATCAAAGTCAAATAGCAAATGAAAATTTGATTCGTAATTTATTTGAAATGATTAGTAATGAATTACGTCGTCTTCGACATCGTATCAATGATAGTGATGAAGCATCACAAGATCGTCATAGTCAACTAATGCAATTATTATTTTCTACATTTAATTTAAATAATAGTAATAATCAAAAAAGACTTTAAATTCAAAAAAAAAACAAAATCTAAACGTTCAGAGATTAGCAGCCGGTTTACTATATATTGATTGTTTTAGATCTATTTCCTTTTCTTCTCTATAGTCAGATATTTTTTGTGTTAAGATAAAAATTTTCTGTTGTCTTTCAAAATTAAATGCGTATTAAAACATAACTAGATTATTTGTTACTTTATTGTAGATTCTTTTTGTTTTGTTTTTTTTTTTGAAAATTCTCCATGGCAAGTCTATTTCGCAATTCTCGATCTATTATTACACGATTGTCGGGCATTCGTCGTACTGCGGCAACAACCGGTACTGGCACACAAGCAAAAACATCTGGTGCTTCGACAAATCTTGCACACCAACCACGTTCTGGTAATGTCGCTGATATGGCAGTACGAGATGCTCGACAACGATTAACTCCAATTGATCCAATTAAGCCAAGGGCTGCAGGTGAAACACCTTTCATGTAAGTTTGTATCAAACAAAATTGATCGCCATTACAAAACTTTTTCAACTGCTGTTTTTTATGAAAAAAAAAATATCAAGAATCAGAGCATTAATAGCAATGAGTTATTATCGACTTCGTTCTTTAATTCATCAGATTCTATCACGATGGTACTATCTCAACTGTAACCTGCCGCACGAGCTTACATTAGATCCAGAAGAGAATCTGAGCACGACTAGAAAGTTTCGTAAAGGTTCCGTTCTCATACGTCATTGAAGACGAGTAATGACAGTTTTACTAAATTTTTCGCCTCATTTTTTAGGTATTTAGTCGAATAATAAATCTCAAAGTTTTGTCCGTAGATAGGTTTAATGACTCTTAGAATATACTGAAAGTTTCCACTGAAAGGAATGTACATTGGCCGAGATATTAAATATCCAAACAATAGTTATTTTCTACAGATATTTTACACAAATCGAGTTTGCCTGAAAACTCAATAACTCGATACGGAAGCATTTCTTTTTCGACTGAAATTTTCAAGGTGTTCTAAGAGTTATTAGAAGTATCTATAGGCGCGATTTCAGATCAAAATTTCGTTATGTGATTTTTTACTCGATATCTAATGATGGGTTGAAAATTGATCTGTCTTATGAGCTGAAACGATGAGTTATAGTTGGAGTAGTTCCCTCGTAAATACACATCTATTTATCATTAGTGACGTGGAAATTATAATCAATGCCAGAGTCCAATGTGATAACTATAGATATGAATACATCTATTAATTTCATCTTTCAAACAGCTAATTTTGATTCAAAGAATGTCATTCATGTCCAATAACATTTCTGTAATTCTACATAAGCATCAACTTGGGTTAATCAGAAATGCTGTCTAAAGGTTGCAATGCTATTAACTGACTTTTATAGTCGAAGTTGGAATTAAGCTCGATTCAAACTGAGTCAATGAATAGATCCTCCTACTAAAGTCGTAGAGGGTGTTTTTCTTGATTTTTAGTTTCCAATTCGTTCGTTATAGAAGTTTTCTGCTTTACTGTTTCAGTATCAGTTTAAGAAGTTCTTATAAATTATCTGCTCTTCTAACTTATATTTTGATGCATACAACATTTGACCAGAACCTTGTATGTCTAGGAAATAAGAAATAAAACTTGATAATGCTTTTCTGGGATGTTTCTAGTTAATAATTCTATTACTCACATCTCTAAATAGAAACTAAAACAGTAAATATTTTATATTATTTTTCAGTCCTTTGGTTGGTACAGCATTGAACGCATGGGGCAAGATGGGTTTTGGATTATTTCTTGCTCTTAGTGCTTATTTTGTTTACATAAATTATATAACAAATCCAGAATTTTATAAAAGTTTAAAATTGAGTCGCGAAGTAAGCAAAAGAAGTTCATATGAACAATCAGCTAAGTAAATATTTTGACTGTTATTTTTACATACATTTTATTTTCTGTTCTTTTTTTTTAGTCGAGAAGGAACACATGGCCACAAAACTGATGATGCTAACACACCAAAAGGCGAACTTAACAAACACTAATAAACATTTCTAATTCTTCAATTTTTCTATTTAGTTTCTAGTTATATTCGTCTTGATCTAAACTCTAGCATTATTATCTCTTACAGAATTTAATCCAACGCTATCATCCAAAGTGTGTCTGACCTTTTCTTTTGTCACAGAAAATAAAAAAAAGAAAACAGCATATTGAATGATTAATCCAGATTTCAACTCTGAAAAAATAATCTTCTTGTTGTTCATCATAAAGCTTCATTTGCACTTATTGAATCAAGAAAAATAATCAGCTATAGTAGAGAAACACATTATGATAAATAGATTATAAATTCTATTGATCACATCTGAAATTTATACCAAAATAGATCATCTTTATGAAATTGGGTAAATATGGAAACTCAAAGAATTCAGAAGTAACTCAATTTTCATGAAATTTTATATAATTTTAATCATCTTAAATACTAATATAATTTCTTTATTGTATGACTAATGACCATTCAACCACATAGTTTTTTAAATTGCTTTTAATTGATCAAGTTTATTTGATATTATTTTTTATCTAGCGTCACTAAGTCTTATGCTAACATATTGTGAGTAAGTCAGATGATTAATAAATGGACTAAATAATTTTACAGCTTGCCAATAGTTTAAATAATCATAGAGAATAGAACTCACGAAGTCGCGATGACAGGCCGTGTTGTCTCATCTTAACGGCAAGTAGTGGTATATTTTCGATGACGGGATGATGGCGAGACACCGCAAGATTTTACGATTTCTCCGACTTCTAACAATAGTGCTCTTTCGTTTAAAAATATTGTTAAATCAATGAAAAGGAATAATTTGTATTAATTTGTTGTAATTCGACATAGTCAACATAGATATTGCTTATTTGGTGTCATTGAAGTGAAATAACGATTGTGACTAGGCATGCACCAAAGTCACAATTCTTGATTTTGAGATATTTTGGTTTTCGGACATGGTTTTGATGTGAATTTAATCTTGCCGTTATTGGCTTTAGTTTTTACCTTAGTTTTGAAGTACTAAAAGAAAACTGATTCTGAAAAGATGAATTCATAAAACTTTCTCTTAAGCTTGATCATACATATCTCCTTGAAATGAGTTTTGAATTTATTATTATATATTGATCAGTAGTAGATATCTTTTTCAAACCTATTGATAATATAATCGTGACAATGCGATGGAAGAAAGATATTTGTAACAAGCACAGCAAAAAAAACCCACATTTTTGTCCGTATAGATAGCTTGTAAGAAAGTTTATTTTACTTCGAAAACAATTTGTCTCGTTTTGGAAAGGTGTTTTCTTTTAAATGAACATCTTTAGTACATGAATAACCATTTTTCACATAAATAGCTTTTTTCTATTGAAGCAAATTCTGAGTCAGCTTGTTATTAACTTGTGAAAATCAAGGATCAATCATTCACATAAAGTATAGTGAAACCTTTATTAAACTGCAAAGCATGTCGGTGTTTTTTCAATAAATCATTTAATAATAGTTGCTCGGTGATCGAAAGACAAGAATATATGTACACTGTTATTCTTTATCTGAATTAAGATATGCATGTGAATCAAGATCAATAGTGATAGTGAACAGAACCCAATCGAAATGAAACGGTTCATATGACACCTTGCGAAAATTAGGTGATCCTTTTTTCTAGCCATATTGGACACTTCTCTCTCTCTCCTCTTTGTGATCAAACGCGATATTTTAGGACCTCCCTTGTCATGTGATTTCGAACGGATGCCTCAGATGTGCCTAAATCTATAAAAAATTCGTAGATATTTTCTTTGTCGCATAAAGCTAGCGATTGACGTAACTTTCACGACAAAACGGAATCCTTTTTGATATTTTTAAAATGAAAGAATGAACTAAGAATGTAGTTTTCTTCTTTCTATATTGTCTGCCTCATCGATGATCTAGTAGACTGGCCATGACTATTATTCTCTATTTCCTTGATGACGTCATACAAGAAAATAGACGCATCCTTTTTATTTTTGTCTGTATGATAGAAAAAGAAAAAGTACTCATCGTGCTCGATCAAACGACTACAATTATAGTTCTTTTTTGCATTCTCTCTATATCCTTCTTTATTCAATTGTAGAAATAGAGCGAGAACAACGACAACATTCTCTGTGTGGAATAAAACTTAAGTAAATACTCTTCTCATCGATAGTTTCCACTATTAATTTTATTTAAAACAGACACAAAAGTAATATTAAATTTGTGTTTTATCTATAATCTCTACAAAAATCGGTTTGATCATGAAGAAGCAGGTATTCAAATGTATGAGTAGTAGTTTGAATATGTTCATCACATTTATTTTGTATCATACTTTGAAAGATACTAGAGAAAGCGATTTTTTATTACAATATATGCTTACAGATTCAATGTGTGATCAATGGCATTGGTTGCATACTGTTAGTGGCATTATTTGGCCGATGCGTATTTATGAAGTAGATGTTATTTACATCTTTTTTCACTTTGTGCAGGTTATCACATGCCCGTTGTTGTATTAGTCACAGTGATACAAACAACATAGTCTTATTCTTATCGGCTAATGTTAGCAATAGTTTCAATCGAATTCATCGATAATCAATGCTTGTTTCTGTTTCAAAACAATCGCTATATATACTATCGAACTACGAAAAACCAAATGTAGCTGGTTTTCGAAATATACCTGAACATGACGAACAGGAAAGGAACAAGTGAAAAGAAGATTTACATAGATACATAGTGTGCGTCATCAGGATGATAGCAAACTGAGAGGAAACTAAGAAATATTGAATATAAGTGAACCACCCTATAACACCAACCACTGCTCCTCCATTTACTGATAAGATAACCGTCCCGACTATCAAAGATAACAATTACAAAAAGAAACCCAAGAAGAAAAAAAGTGGAATACAATACTACCACAAAAAAAAAATAAACAAATGTTCTAAACTAGAATGACTGTATCCAAAATATTAGTAGTGAGCATACGGTAAACTGTTACGAAATGGCTCTTAACTTGAACAGTTCTTTGTTGTTACCAACGATATTTTAACTCAGTTATATTTGTTATGACCTACACTTGGTAGTGAAGTGGCATTTGATCACTGACTACAAGATAAGTGTTTGATCACACAAATGACTACTTGATGAGGTTCATTGTAAATTAGATCAAAATGCTACGAACTCTACGCTGGTGAATGGGAACCAGCTCATCAATTTTCTGAATCGGACATTTCTACCTTTATCATAACGCAATTTAATCTTTTACTGTTGTTGAACAATGTTCACTTCCGCTATTTGAAATCAAATCTTACGGTCTTGAGCTAAATGATCCAGATATATGACGATTTTTCAACTGGAACGATCGGACTACAGAACTACACGCAAGTACTATGTCCCGAACGAACATTAGATAAACATGACAGAAAACAGTAAAACATGAAAGCTGGTGTAGTACGTACTAATAACATTTTCCACATGATCATCGATATTGTTAAATTATGTGCTATATAAGCACTAAAGACTTAGTCGCATTCTTGTATTTCATTACTTGACTAAACTATTCCAAAGCGATCTCCTAGATCAATTATAATATACGATGAAACACAAAACGTAAACGTCGTTTCCACATTTATCCACACAGTAATTCGGACAGTGCTATTCGAAATTGCTCTGCCGATAAATGTTTCCATATGATAGTCCATCAACTCATCTATAGAACTGAAGTCTGTCGAATCAACATAGCATCGACCAGAAACTCAGCGGATCGCAATGTGGCAGTTGCTCTCACGCGTACGTTACTTCGTTATTGAAGAAACTCGTTTACAATCGATTCTAGCCATTAGTGTTGTTTCGACTAAAAATGCATCGTTACAATCATAACCTCATTTCGATTATGACTGAATAACAATACGGTAGCTTCATTCATATGCCCACTTTATTAACAGTTTGGACATATATCAATGTGCTGACGACAACCAATGTGCCACAAAATTATTGAGTATAGATCGGATTCCGACTTAGAGACGTTCCGTTGTAAGCCGTCGAATGGTAGCTTCACATCATTGTCCTTTCGAGCAAATACGTAAACCAAATGTCCGAACGTATGATTCCTAGATCAATGACACAATCCAATGTATGGTAAAAGTAACCTATCTCACGACGGCTTAAACTCAGCTCACGTTTCCTATTGGTAGGTGAATAATTCAACGCTTTGAGAAGTCTGCTTCGCAATGAGAACAAGAGCCGATATTGAAGGATCAAAAAGCGACGTCGCTATGAACGTTTGGCCGTCACAAGCCAGTTATCACTATGGCAACTTTTCTGTTACCTCTTGTAGAAACTCGTTAAATCAAAAGGATCAATAAGCCGGAATTTCTTCGTCTGTATTCGTACTGAAAATCTAAATCAAGCTGAGTTATGCCCTTGTGCTCAATGTGTGGTTTCTGTCTGCACTGAGTCAATTTTTGGACGCCGACTTTAATATTTGATAGATGTATCGCCCCAGTCAAACTCCTCACCTGTCTCTTTCCTTGAAGCAGATCACGCCGATACACGTATCGAAGTTTGTCACTCAAACACTGAATATAAAATCCAATCTCTGTATAATCAAGTAAGTAAAGAAACAATGAGCAAGTCTCTTTATGAAGACAAATTAGGGTCAAGCTCAACAGAATCTTCTTTTCCCGCATTGAAGTCCAAGTCTTTTTCCTTGGCTATAGTTTCGCTAGATAGTAGACAGAGGCAGTGGAAATCTTGTAGATCCCCTCATGCACGTCACTAACTAGATGACAGAGCATTTGACTTGGGGTAGCTGATATATTACGTCATTACTTTCTTGTTTTTTGGACCCTTTCCTTCGTTATGCCACTGTTTATCATTTTCTTTGAGATTCCCGCCCACCTCGCCTTCGATGACGTCATCAGATTAATTCTTAAATTCTTTATAAAGTATCCACTACAGTTGTTCTGTGGATATCTGTATGAGTCTTTAGTTCATCTACACTCAAGAATT